AGCAAATCAGGCACCTATTTACTCCTGTACGCCAGTTTGTGATACTATGCTTCCCCTTATATAAAGATTTTGTTTTTCTTCAAATAAGATGTGAACTTGTTGTTTCTTGGCTGAACATGCAGGGGTTAGTGAGTTTTTAGAATGGATCTGTCATATTCCCCATGGACTTTGAGTATTTAGTCACTTGTTTCAGAAGGGAGCAAGGACAGAAAAAAGAGGTTTTTTTTTTTTTTTTTTTTTTTAGGTTCTCTTCATCTCTATCATGGCATTCTTTGGTTCCTGTTTGTCATTCAACGAATTATTAGATTTCTCAGTGCAGAAACTTCTTCGAAGAATCCTCCTACCTTATAATATGGAGCCCATCTTCATTACATACATAAAAAGTACAAATGTGTGCTTTCTTTTTTAGCTATGACCTTTGGGGCACATGCATAGTATCTGTCAATCAGATGTGTCTGTGGCAGGATGTGAATCAAAAGTTAGTTTACTTGAAAAGAGAACTGCAGAATGCTGTGTAAGAGTGGTGAGCGGTGACAGCTACAGCCACGTTAGTGGGATCCAGTAGCAGCAGATGGCCCTTAATATGCAAGTTTTGACCTGAAAACAGCAATGTATTATTGCCCAGGGGTGGTGTGGCCTTAAATTTGTGGGACTTGGTTGCCAGGGTTTGGAAGTTTTCATTAGATATCAAGATAATGAGACTCCAACAGCTTCTTGTTACACATTTTTCATGCTTCATTGCATTTTGTCTTGCATTATTTTTGCTGTAACATTAAAGAATTCCTGACTTATATACTTCCCATCAGGTATAACTCCCAATGCAATCCCTCCCCACTCCCCCCTCCCCGTGATAGGCCCCGGTGTGTGACATTCCCCTTCCTGAGTCCAAGTGATCTCATCGTTCAGTTCCCACCTATGAGTGAGAACATGCGGTGTTTGGTTTTCTGTTCTTGCGATAGTTTGCTGAGAATGATGGTTTCCAGCTGCATCCATGTCCCTACAAAGGACACAAACTCATCTTTTTTTATGGCTGCATAGTATTCCATGGTGTATATGTGCCACGTTTTCTTAATCCAGTCTGTCACTGATGGACATTTGGGTTGATTCCAAGTCTTTGCTATTGTGAATAGTGCCACAATAAACATACGTGTGCATGTGTCTTTATAGCAGCATGATTTATAATCCTTTGGGTATATTCCCAGTAATGGGATGGCTGGGTCATATGGTACTTCTATTTCTAGATCCTTGAGGAATCGCCATACTGTTTTCCATAATGGTTGAACTAGTTTACAATCGTTTACAATCCCACCAACAGTGTAAAAGTGTTCCTATTTCTCCACATCCTCTCCAGCACCTGTTATTTCCTGACTTTTTAATGATTGCCATTCTAACTGGTGTGAGATGGTATCTCATTGTGGTTTTGATTTGCATTTCTCTGATGGCCAGTGATGATGAGCATTTTTCCATGTGTCTGTTGGCTGTATGAATGTCCTCTTTTGAAAAATGTCTATTCATATCCTTTGCCCACTTTTTGATGGGTCCAACCCCCTTTTAAAGTAGAAGTTCCATCACGGACATTTAGAGGTTAAAGGAAATTTAGATAATCTAGTTCAAAGCTTTCATTTAATTGAAGAAAGAAATTGATCTCTTGTGTGTTGCCCTGAGCCACACAGTAGCTGAGATACAGCAGAGGCCAAAACCCAGGCTGCTTAACTCCTGCGTTCTGTGCACTTTAAGGTCTCTCATTCCCTTTCTGGCTTAGTTCTGGTTGAAAATCAAAGACTTGTGTGTATCTTACATTCTTATCTCAGTTTAGGTAATAGCCTAAAGTTTTTAGGCCCGTGTGTCTATGTATCTATCTCCTCTTCTTCTTTCTCTACTAGAAAGACATGTGACAAGATGCTGTGGTTACACAAATTCTCCCCCACTCTTGCTTTATTTTATTCATTGTAATTTATTCCATACTGAGACTCTGGTCTTTTCTCTTGAGTGTTATTAACATAGTTTCTATTTGAGTTGAGTAAATGGAATATTATGCTTCTGAATATAATTTTTCTGCCTCAAATGATGCAATTTGAGCATCATTCTTTAAAGACACACAATATATGCTGCCTTCTTATAATGAAATATCTGAAAGAAAAATATAGATTAACAGATGATTATTATCATTGAAAATGGTTTATTTTACAGAATTCCATAAGAATTCCTTTAGTTAATTATTCTAGTTCAAATGTCTGAAATTCTGTTTATGCCCAGTATTCAAGTAGATGACATAAAGCAAAATACATTGGCTTTATACATTTTATGAATTTGCTTTATGAATTTTATGCATATTGAATTTGATGACACTTAAAAAACACTCAAGTGTTTCTAAACAAAGAACTCTAGCAGCTCAAAACACTTGTTATATCTGATAACATAAACAATAATGTACTTAATAATATATTTCTTATTATTTTATTTTCACTTTCTGCCAAGGCCCGGGAAAACATTTAAATTGCTTATGTGCATGTTTAGAAATATACTGGAGAATCAAACATGCCTAAGAAAACGGGGTCAAAAAAGTGTTGTGAAACAGTAGTAACTAAGGAATATGCCACTTAGATCTGTTCCAAGTCAAGCAGTGTTCCAAAGGGACCGTGGCTTTATTTTTAGGCTACAGTTCATTGACTCAGGCTGTCGCTTCTGCTAATTGGCATAGCTACTCTTAGCCTACAGATGTTTTATTGAGCCTTGATAATGGGAAATAAAATGTTTTATCTGTCATTCTAGAAAAAATAAACTGATTACTCTGTTGAGAAGACCTTGCCCAGGGTCAAGCTTTATTCTTAGGTGGATCACATGCAAAATTATTTGAAGATACTGAGATTCACACGGTACACACACACAGGAATTCCCTTGGCCAATAGGTGATGGATTAGTCAATAAAAATGCAACAGAGATTTTGGAGGCCATACTTGAAATGGGGATGTGAGGATCAGAAGACCTTCTAGGTACAATCAGTCTAGTGAATTAATTAGTAGGTAGCTTGGTCTCTGAGAGGTTGAGACATGAGACTATCAAATGGCAACAGCCCATGATGTAAACCAATGAAGCCAAGGGAGGTTGCTGTGGGGAGAGAGGAAACACTTCCTGGTTGATGAAGACACCATGGTACACATGTTTAGAAGGGTTGAGAACTCAGGAATAAGAGAGACTGGTGTAGCTTCATGTACATGTGACGTGTCCCACGCTAACACAGGGCCAGAATTTGGTTTTAGGGCCCTGTTGTCACTGTCTTAATATTCTTGATTTTGAAACAAAGGACCTTTCATTTTCATTTTACATTGGGCATCACAAATTATTTAGCTAGTTTTGCTGGAAGGGGATATAAAACTAAGGGATAGATACCAGAAGACAAATTCTGTGTACATTTTAATTTGGGTTGTGGAAAACTGTATTCTCTATCAAAGGGTTTAGAGGAGATGCATTCAAATAATACTCCTAACAGTTGGATAAACTGTAATGAGGGCGTTTGGCTGTGAAGTTGCAGTGAGTGGAGAGGATTGACATTGTTGCTGATGGTGATGTTCCTGGGTGAGTAAAGGACAGTGTTGAGATTCACAGGGCAGGAGTAATGAGGTGGTGTAGGGGAGGCAGAGTCAGGGCTAGGGTCTCAGAAGCCTACTGGATAGCAGTAGCAGCTGGGTGAGAAATCTCTAACAAGGGTCATTAAAGTTGCTTGGGCAATTGCAGTTGATCTAATTAGGAGGTTTGATGAGTAAATAGAATTTAGAGAGTTGCATTGTCCTTGTTCACTGGCACTGAAGACAAAGTCACTTGACTGTCAGTGTTCCAGATTAGTTATCAGAATGATTTTCCATACTAGCTTTCCTCTTAATAACAAACAGCTTTTAATGTGATAGTATCTGTTAAGTGCTCTCTGGGTCCCTAGATAGGCTCTTTATCAGTTGGTACAGTAGCCTATTCTTTCAACAGAAATAAGTGAATTTGGAGTCCTGTAGAGTTGCCTAGGAAGATACGGTTTAGAGTTTAGGAGTTCAAGTGTTCTGGTTGGAAGTTCTCTAGAGAAATAAATATAGTAGCTCCTCCTCCCCGGAAAAGCTCTAGTATATTATCTAGTTATATTTATTTCCTGACAAAATTAAGGATGGGTTCAGACACAAGACATTAGGTCTCTCATATTGCAGATGGGTACTGTTTAACCTAGAGGATTCATTAAAACGATAGTTTGTAAGCTCTGGGAGCATTGAAAACAATTTAGGTTGACTCCTTAAATTTTCAAATGACAAAATCGAAAGAGAGAAGGGTTGTGAGTGGGCCAGGTTTCACAGCCAAGTATGTAGAGACCTATCTAGTGACCATGTCTGTCAGCTGCCGGGTCACAGGTCTGCTATCACACAGGTTCCTTCTGGCTATGTTTGAAGAGTTCCGTTTCGTTTTGTGTTTATAGATGTACCCAACACTATTATGAAGTATTGATTAATCAAAGTAATAATAATAATAACTACCATTTACATAGAGCATGAAATGGGCGCAATGAGCTAGGAACTTTACCTAATCTTTTTAATGTCCTCGAGAGGCAGATTCTATTATCTTCATTTTTCAGAAGAGGAAATTGAGACTTAATGTCACATGGCCCTAAATTAGATAAACTTTAGGAAGTCTTCAACCTTCCGGTAGTTTTTGGCAACTATTCATCTCTGAACAGACTCCAGAACATTAGTGGATGCTGTCCCAATTTATCCTCACTGAGCAAAAACTAGGGCCCTAATTACAAAGATATTTCGCTTACAACATTTAGGTTTTGTTATTAGGAATCATTATGAACCCAATCATAGCTGGTCCTATATTGGCACATTAGAGATAATTTATAATTATATATATACATACACAACAGCTGTGAATAAGCGGAGGAAAATGAGTGAACTAAAATGAGAGATTTTTCTTTGTATTATTTAAATTAATAAATGATATTTAATTTTATCTTTTTTTTCCAGTTGATGACATAGAAGACTTAATTTCCTCCTCATGATTAATCTCACAGTTGGAGAGTATACCCACTCTTACAAAGAATCCAGGTGAGAGGAATGGGGAATTAATAAGAGCTAGGAGGGTACCATTTTTGTAGAAATATAATAGTGACATATATATTTGTCGACTATCCGGGAGACATACCCAAGCAAAATATTTTGATTATAAGAAAGGACAATATTTGAAATCAACTTAAGCAGAGCTGACTAGAAATGGAAGGACACCTAAGGGAAATAAAAGATTTTTCTAGGTTACACTTGCCCAAGTCATGTAATATTCAGGCTAAAGGCAAGCAAAATTCAGAACATGTACATTGACCCCTCTGCTGGGAGCAGAGAAGAGCAGAGTGGAAGTCAAAGGAGTGTGGTGGATGCCTGTCGGGGGAAAGTGCTGTAGCCTGGAGTACCCTTTATCCTGCAGCTCTTTGCCAAACCTGTTCAGAGACAGAGAGCATATCCTCTGAAATGAACTCAGGGCCCTACTGTCAACTGCTTCTCATTTACGTTAAGCAGCAAAGCTATTAGGCTTAATTTACCTAAACTCTTCCCCTATAATATTCTTCCTCTATAACATTCGTGGTCTGCTAAGGTTGCTGTAAGCAAAGCAAAGTATAAAATAGCACACAAGTTCCTGTTTGACAAGTGAAATACCAGTTTCTTATCTCTCCCCAGGGACCTCTTATAACGAGAAATTGGCCTTGTGAGTTTTTAAACTTTTCCATTCACAACCCTGTATGTCTTTTATTATTTTGTCTTTTAAAATTAGCATGCTATTTTAAAAATATAGAAACCAGGCTTTAGAAGCACAACAAAAGCATCTGCTTTGCAGAAACTACTTTTTAGTTCCTGTCTCTTCACATTGAATTTTCAGTTGCTGTTAAAGTAGAAAAATATGCAAATGCATGACCTGTGTATTGAGTATGTTTTTATCTTGAGATTTTCCTATATATCCAAAGGATAGATACTTGTTTGTAGATTTGATTGCTGTTTTTCTATAAGACTGTGCTTGTGGATTGTAGAATGTGGTATAGCCTAGAAGGCATGATAATTCTGTAAGGTGATTATATGGTAGCTGGTACCTTGCGTTGTTCCTTCATCACTGAATCATCCAATATATTTTATTGTTAATAATGACCATAGTTTGTATATACTGAGGTTTTGAATTTAGGCAGCGATTTGAAATTATTGGAAGAATGAATCTTCTGATTTTATAGGTGCTCCTCATTTGTACCCTTGTCTTTATTTTTGCATTAATAAAGACACTCTTGTCTTTATTTTTGCATTACTGTGCTTATCACCAGGTACTACATTTGCATGCTGAATTGTCTGTCGCCTTCACTGGACTCTAAGCAATTTGAGAATAGGCCTTGTGTCTGTCTTGTTCATTATTGGGTCCTTGGAACAAACTAGTGCATGGCTGTCAGTGGGTACTTAATAAGTATTTGTTTAATTGAATCAATACTTTTAATGTAACTTTTTAAAATACCTTTAATACGACAAGCATTGTAAAGAGTACCTTAAACACATTTTCTCATGTAATCTTCACAACAACCAAATGAAGTTGTTATTTCGGTCTTTATATTAGAGAAAAGGAACCTAAACTTCAGATGGGGTAAGGAGCATACTTAGGTCTTCCACCTGAGCTGTGTAATTTGGGATTGGGACTATGTGACTTAAAAGCACATATCTTACTTCCTATACCACACTGCTTTGTGTATCAGAAGGTAGAGTGATATAAAAATCACCCCAGATACTTATGGGGACTTGAAAAACATGAAAGATGGGAAAGTTTATAGATATATTGGCAAAGGAACATTGGCAGAGAGAGTTAGCCCCTTCAAAATTTTCACAGAGAAGTTATTTTCATTGACTACAAATATTTCTTGCTCCTTAAATAAACCAGAAAAATCTTGTTTGTTCATTATTTCTGCCATTTGAATTGATATAATATACTTGAATGTTGTTAATTATAAGTAAGGATGGCAGAAGCATTATTATTTGATTTAATTGACATTATCAAGCAAGTACTTTCTGAGAATGATTTTGAGTGGGATTGAGGGTTGGGACAGAACAGTGAACACAGGTAGTATAATATGTTGCATATTTTCACAAGCTTACAGTATAATCAGTAATAAGAAGAGTAATCAAATTACTAGAAAGAGAACATAATAAAGGTAATCAAGGTTGTACAATCTATAGAGGATATAAAAGGAATAAGAAATTAGATTTGTTTGTGGATATCAGAAGTGTATTACTGATAAAGTAGCATTGGAAAGGTCCTTGGAAAATGGGCAGCATTTAACAGTTTTATGTGCTGTCCATTTGAAGATGAATAAAGACATGGTCTCTTTCCTTAAGAAAGCCAAGACTCATTGGTAGAAATAAGTCCTGAGTGAGTATTAGCAGGTGAGAGAACACTGAACTCCAGAGAGCAATGAAAAAATAATTATGCAAGTGGCCAGGTGTGGGGACTCACACCTGTAATTCCAGCACTTCAGGAGGCCTGGGTAGGGGGATCACATGAGGCCAAGGTTTGAGACTGGCCTGGCCAACATAGTGAAATCCTGTCTCTACTAAAAATATAAAAATTATCTGGGCGTGGTAGCACACACCTGTAATCCCAGCTACTTGGGAGACTGAGGCAGGAGAATAGCTTGAATCCAGGAGGTGGAGGTTGCAGTGAGTCAAGATTGTGCCACTGCACTCCAGCCTGGGCGACAGAGCGAGAATCCATCTCAAAAATAAAAAAATAAAAATATTTGCAAGATAATATTGAGAAGGTCATGTGAGACTTTGTGCGTTTTGCTAGAGGAGCAGTAAGAACTTCAAATATAGGTGGCCAGCAGTCCATGAGTCCGGGGATTTAGAGTGTGTTTATCTGGTCCCATAAATGGGTTAAAAGTTTGTTCCAAGAAAGGATCCAAAGGGGCTTGCAGGCATTCGTAGGAAACTGCCTCAACTAATTTAAGTTTCTGTTCAGTTGACGTCGTTGTCATGGGGAGTCAGAATGCTCTGAGTGTGGACTCCATGAGGTTTGGAAAGGGAAAGCATTCTTCCCTGAAAAGTGGAGTGGATTGTTGTAATACTCACCAAAATTGGCAAAGAAAAATCAGGCAGCATTTGTGTTGGGTTATATTGAAATCACGTCAGAGACTGTGAATAATTAAAACCACTCTCAAGGGAAGTTTGTTTTTCCTCCTTGTAATGCACATATGACTGGCACAGAAAATGTTTTACTAGTTAATTTTGCTTCATTTCCCATTTAAGATTTGTCACAGTAAATAATCCTTTCTCAAGTGGCAGTATCCTGAACATAAAATACAGCAAATGCTGTCTGGATATTAGGCAATCAGTCCCATAGTGGGATCAATCAGATTTTCCTTAGATGAAAACTATAAAACACAATAAACTAACACACATAATTAAAGAGTAGGAATGTTTCTATGGTGAGATGTCCAGAGGTGGTTTTGCTAATAGAAAGAAAATGGGATGTTAAAGATGTTAATTAGCTGTGCTATGGCAACAGCTTTTTCCACAGTGCTAAGCTTCTCTATTTGCCTTACATGTTTACAGCTCCATGATATTGGCTATGAAAATGCAAATAGTATCTCTATATATTTGAATTAAAAATTATCAATAAGTCATTTTTAATAGCTTTCATGAGGAGTTGTTTACATACCATAAAACCATTCATCTTTCTTGTAAAAATTGAGATTTTATGTGTAAATATATAGTATTTGTGCAATCATCATCACAATCCTATCTTAGAACATGCCCATCACTCCCATAATATCCCACATACCCAGTTCCACTCTCCACCCTCCCTGAGTCCCAGGAAACCACTAGTCTGTTTTCTGTCTCTTATAGATTTGCCTTTGACATACGAATATAGGATGGAGGGCATCATTCAACCCATAATATATTAGAATAATAATAACAACAATTATAATAAATATTCATTTGTCACAGAATATACTAAGCACTGATCTGTAAGCCTTACAAATAACTCAATTAATTATCATAACAAATCTATAAAATAGATACTGTGATTATCCCTGCATTATAGATTTTTTAAGAATTGGGGCATACAAAGGTCATACAGATAGCAAATAGTGGCTTGTGGATTGGGCATTAGAATCCAGGCCATCTGGCTTCAATGTGTATACTCTTACACCTCAAAGTATACTGTATGTACCACTCCCTAGGCATTCACAGTCTGCCCAAATAGCCTTTACATTATAATGAAATGGAAAAACTCTTTGATGATGGACAGTTGATAACCCTAGTCTCTTAGGATGGCATTATGAAGGAAATTATATTCCTCCTTAACATGGAAATATAGATTCAAAATGGTCTTTGATTTCTGCTGAAGAGAGAATAGATTATGTGAGACGAACTGACTCATAACATAACACTTTTATTAGGTTGAATCATATGAAATTGGTTTTTATAAGGTAAAAATGGTAGCATATGGATAACTTTATGTGGTTCAAGCTAATATCTTTACTGCTGTTTAAGTCAACTTTTGTTGGCTTCCACGACTTGTCTTTTCTTGGTAGATCGAGTAGGCAAATTTTTCTCTTTATTTCTCTGCAAATTGCTTTACCCTTCCACACTCTACCACTCCCACCTATCCCAAACATCTGGGCAGCCAGACCTGCAGCTTCCACTGCTTCAGGGAAGAATCATACACAGCGTGCAGGGGGTGACTGCAACAACAACATAGGATTACTGACTTTCAAAGTTCAAATGCCTACATCAGAATATAAAATATAAATTTTGAGGGCAAGTAGAAATTTTTCCACCTCTGTTCCCAGGTTAAATAAAGATTTTTAGTATCAGAGAAGGAAATAAAAAGGTCTAAGTAGCAGCAAAAAGCTTCTTTCCTGAGAAGATGCGAGCCAGTTGCTAAGCAATGGGATGTATTAGTTGTTACTAATCCTTATAATAATTTTCCTCAGGAAACTAACATTTGTTAGTTATAACTCAGGATGGCTATGCCTTCCTGTCCCAGGTCAATCCTGGAAGGGGAGGAGGGTGAAGGATGA